TGTTGGTCTGGAATGTGCAGAAAAGCAAAAAATACCGAGCACTTAGGATAATTAGCTTTTCTCTGAGTCTGTATAGCTTTATCTGCCATTCCTGTTTTCCTGGAGTTCTGTCCAAGTGGGAGAGCTGAGGAGTTTGTTTGCTGGAGATTTTATTCCCCCCTTTAAGGGGGGGGTTGATGTTTCTGGTGCATCTGCAGCTATAAAACGTTCATGGGCGATTTGGCCCAAAAGAGCTGTGCCTCAATCCCCTGTGCCTCAATGCCCTGTGAAGTTGTCCTGCCCTGACCCTGCTGCCAGCGTGGGATAACTCCCCGTGTGTGTCTGCAGTCCTGTCTTGCCCAATCTTGTTTTTAATGTCTCGGGAAATTGGGCTTTTATCACTTCCTTAGGCAAATTCCTTCACTGGATAACAAAGCTCACTTGGGGAAGGATTTCTGCTCAGCGAGAGAGGCTTGCAAATGGAAAACTTTTGCTTATGTTAAACATGAATTCTGAATATTATTCTGACTTCTTCTCCAAACACCTCCTTGTTCTTTTTGCTGTTGTGGGTATCCTGCAGTGAGACCTGACGTGCAATCACATTCATTTTTCTATCAGAAAAAAGAAATGACTCCTGATTCTAGAAATAATTGTATCAATTTGGTATATCAGGTTAGAGAATACAAAGGATGTCCATGAGGAAGACACTTTGAATGTTTTGTTTGCACGTTTTAACAGGACTTATTTTGCACCTTAAAAAGGGTGGGATTTCCACCTCTGCCCCACAAAAAGGTCCTTCCAGGACATGCTTCCACTGGATGTGTCCATTTCTCCTCTTAGCATCCATCCATTCCTGGTGCCCTGGAGTCTGGCAAGCAGAATATCCTCATTTCTAGACTTACTTTGCTCTCTCCTTTTTTCTGCACAACAGATTTCAGATTCCCCATTCAAATTTTCAATTATTTCTGGGCTTGATGTCATCTCAGTTTATCTTCTTTCTTTGACTTATTGTCTCATCTTACATATGCAGGTACAGCTTTTTGTAAACCTAACTGAAGTTTATTTAATCACAAAGGCTTTACAAGGCCTGACGTGTGAAATTCACTCCACACTTGTGCAATAGGGTGATAAAATCAGATCTTGGCCAACTCCTCTGTGGGAAGTGTGTTTGAATACACTTTACTTGGCTTTTCACAGCCTGTTGTGACTTCTCATTAACTTAAACCCAATGTTTCTTCATAGGTTGGAACAGATAATTATCTTGCCAGTGTTAAGAAGAGTCATCATTCATCTGGAATTATTCCATGGATAAAACCTTAACAGGATAATGGCTCTGTTTGCTGATCACATTTCTCAGGCTGACTCTTCTTCCAAACAAATCTAATTGTTCAGGGCGAAGCTGGGCATAAGGGAATTTTAAGAAATAAGAATGAGTTTTTAATTAACTGAATTCAAAATTCAGTTGCAATATTGACAGGACAAGAAGAAATGGCCTCAGGCTGTGCCAGGGAAGGGCCAGGTTGGACACCCTGAGGAGTTTCCTCATGGAAAGGGTCAGGCCCTGGCAGGGGCTGGGGTCCCCATCCCTGGAGGTGTCCAAGGAGCAAGGGCTGGTGACAAGGTGGGGACTTGGAACTGGTGACCTTGGAGGGCTTTTCCAGCCTCAGTCATCCTGTGGTTCTGTGATCTGATATTAGGCAGATTTTTCCCCCTGTTTTGAGGGGGTGACAGCCAATGGGCAAGTCTGTGCCAGTGCCCCAAATGCTGTGAGCAAATCCCTGACTCATCCCTTCCCAGGGCTGGCTGGAACTCACCTGGAGCTATCCCAGAGCCTTGCCAAGGGGAGGTGGCACCACTCTCACTTTCATGCCCAGCAATCCTGAGTCATCACAGGTAGAAATGGAATTCAGGGATGTCTCCTGCACCTTTTTTCTGGGATGTTTTCCTCTCCTGCATTGGGGTGGTTTGTTCCTACATGGTGTAGCTGCTCTGTGAGTTCCCTTCAATCAAATAAAGTGGTTATTATGGGCACAGTGATGCTTTGCTCTTCTTTGGAACTTTATTGAGGAATATCAGAAAATCACCAGTCACCAGCCTGCAGAACTCCCACAAACAGGAAACTTTGGTTATCTAATGTGGTTTCTCCTGCAGCTGAGCTGAGGGGTGTCTGCTCTGTGAGATTCACGGTCATGTTTTCAAAGCCTGGTTAAGAAAACATCAATATGAACACTCTGGAGTTTTAGAAACCAAAATACTGCGTGTGGTCATTGTGTTGTCAGTTCTGGAGTTTTAAATAACAAATGCTGCATGTGGTCACAGTGTTGGTAGTACTTTCTGTTTAATTTTGGTTAGTGGGTGGTACCTGTTGGCAGAATTCAGTTGTTTTGTGGGCTCTTCACACTGAAATATTTCCAGGTGAGCCAGAGTAGCCACAGAAAATCCATTGTGGAGTGCCAAACACGAGCGTGTGACTGAGGAAAGCATTGTCTGTGGGTTTGAGCTGGGCCTGTGACACAGGGAGGAACCGCTTGGGTCCCAGGGATGCCACCTCAGATCCCACTCTTGGAGGGGTTTTCCCACAGGGGTTGTCCCATTTCTTGGCCAGGAGAGCTGGAAGGGTGAGGAGGGACAGGGAACCAAGCATCCCAACCTCAGGCACAGCCTGACACCCCCCAGCCCCTGGGCAGTGTCTGGTCACTGGTTATTTGTCACCTACCCCCCATGACAGCAATGCTGGCGCTGGATCTGCTTTTTTGTCCTTAAACCCTGCATATTTAAGCCATGTGGTCCCAAAAATATGGGTTAATGAAGGGTTATGTGGGTTAGACAAGCTCAGCTGTTAATTAAAAGCAGAGAATGAGAAGGGATGGGCCCAGTGGGCCAAAATCTCAGCTGGTGCCATCGGGTGCCACCGCTGGCTGTGCCACTGCCCAGGGCTGTCCCCAACAGGGGGCTCTGCCCTGGGGACCTGCACAGGCCAGGCTGTGCTCCTGGGGGAGTTGTAATGCCTTCAAACCCCATGTTTACACTGGGAATACTGGGCAGAGCACTGGATAAGCAGAGCTGCCAGGTGAGCTTCTAAGCCAGGCTTTATTAATGAAGAGGGCACGGGCTGTGTCTGAACCAAAGGGCTCCGTGGGTTTGTGTGACCTGGTGTTTACAATTCCCTGTGATTTTTTAATGAAACAGAAGAGTTGCCAACATATCAAATAAAGGCAGAACATCTGTGCATATCCTTGGATGCCATGTTTTATGAGTGAAATCTGGGAATCAGCTAAAGGATGGTGTCAAAGCAAAATGAATGCACTCCAGAGCATTCCTGTTCTCTAACTCAGATCCCAACTCTGCCTTCCCTGGGCGCCTCTGAGATCACCTGCACGAGCTTCAGGTGTTAAAGTTCTTGGAGAAGTGATGTCACAGCTTCTTCTCAGTAAATGGAAAAGTGGACTCAGTTCATCATTGGTGATTCCCAAAACGGGCCTGACTTAATTGATTCAGCACTTCACAATTCCTGCTGCATCTGAGGCCTGTCTTTTTTACCACCTTCCCAAAACCCTCTGGTTTTTATGGATTCCCACAACCCAGCACCCATCCAGGGTGCAGGACTGGGCTGTGGGATGCTCATTTTCATGAATTTTCCATGACTGGCACCCTGAGCACTGCTTGGTTTGATTTCACCTTCCCCTTCCCACACTCAGTGCTGTCCAACATCCCTCTCCTCCTTCTCCTGGTCAGGTGTCTCGGGGCTGGCTGGACACAGGGAATTGGGAGGTGCTCTGCTTTCCCATGCCCTGGAATATGTGTACACACCCCTTCTTCCCACCCTCCCACCATCACTCTCTAAAGCTCATATCAAATCTGTTTCTCCCTGGGGGATGACCCCAAAAGCCTTCCCTGATGCCTGAGCAGCCTCACAGGCTGCAGGTGGACCTGCTCTTAGAGGGAGACATTAAATCCTGGATGAAGTTTGGATACAGGAAATGTTCTACTTGACCTAGAGCTGAGGCAGGACATGCTGGCTTAACACCTCCCTCCCTGTGATTTGTTATTTAAAATATAAGTACAGACTTAAATCTCCATGCAGCTTTTTCCTGAAGAGGAAGGAATTCTCCCAGCAATGAGCAGGTGCTGCTGGGGTTCAGATCAATCCTTCCAGCCCTGCTAACTTCAGTGTATCAACCACATCCCTTCTCATGCACATGGGTTTGCAGGATTCGATTAATTAGAAATATTAATAGATAACACCATAGATAACACCTTCAGCAGCCTCTCAGCACCGTCTTTCCCTCGGCTCTACCACTGCAGAGTCATTCTGCCTCTCTAAAGCCTCTGGGGAGATTTTAGGCTGGGTCAAGACCATCCCAAAGATTGGCTGTGATTCCTCAGGTTTTGGCTTTTCTATTTTCAGACTCTGTGCTGCTTTAGTGTGTAATTCTGCGATTCATATCAGGGGATGCTGAGCTCTGTGCACAGAGCAGGGAGACAAAACAATTCCTGCTCCAGCTGGGCACCAAGGACAAATGATCCAAATCTCAGCCCAGGAGCACAAACCCCGTGGGCTGGAGAGAGAAAAACAAGCAGGGTGGGACTGCAGGGGCTAAAGCTGGAATGGGACAATGAACTGCAAGGTGCAAATGGAGCAGAACTGATCCCAGGGACAGAGCCCGTGCCCGGCCGTGCTTTTTGGGGCCATTTTGGTTCATCTTGGGTGCAGGCCTGGCTGGGCTCTGGTGCTGCCCAAGGTGGATCCATGGAGGAGATGCTTGGAATAAATCCCTGCTTTATTCTGGAACCTGTAACTGTTTAATTAGCAGGAGGCCTCGCAGGGATCAGCATTGCCAAACAAACTCCAGCCCTGGCCCGCTGCCTTTTCCCCCTTGGCTGCTCCTGCTGCCCAGATGGCTCAGCCTGCCAGCACAGAGCATCAAATCATTTTATTCCTATGACAGCAACTTGATTCCTGATGATATAGGATCCATATATTAACAGCATCTCATGGTTTTTCTGTTTTCCCCTTCCAGGAGTGAATTCCTCGCTTGTTGCTGATTTCATGCCCACGTCCTCATGGAACATCTCAAGTGAATTAGATAAAGGTAAGCAGGCAGAAAAAAACCCAAAACCACCTGAATTCAGATTTAAAAAATCTCCATTTTTCTTGACTTGACCAAATCAGCAAACGAAGGGGATAAGGGGGTACCCAAGATAAACCTCATTTGCCTTGGGATCCTTTGACATTTAATTCCGTGTGGTTCTGGGATTTCTGAAGTTTGCTGTGTTCGTTTCTTGTACCAAGAAAATGTTCCACAGGGCAAAAATATTTCAAGATGTTCTGTCACACATTTTTTTCTGGTGGATCTTGGGATTTGAACTCAAAATTCACAAGCATTAGGCACTGAGTTTGCTCTATATAGTTTGCTCTCGTGTTTTATTATGAAATTTTGAGGCTTTAATAATACAAAATACATTTGCAGGTCGTAATTAGGTGTAATTTGGAGCTCTCCGAGCGGTATTTATTGTAAAAAAATGAGAGGTTTATCATTCTCCTTAATTTTGTAAATTAAGCACTGGTAATTTAAGGCAAATTGCTGAGGTTCCCTCATTGCAAGGCAGTGGCTGCAGCTCCTGAGTCAAACCTGTGCATCTTTGAGGATGCTCTTAGCCACCCTCACTGTGCAATTTGTCAACCACTTTTCATTTGCCAGCCATTTACTGCTCAGATGGAAATTTCCCACAGTGGAATTCTGCCCCAGATGGTTTTCCCAACTGTTTTTGTCTGTTTTGTTACTGTTTTTTTGAACATGTGTTGATAATGTTTGATGTTTATGCATAAATATGTTTTCTGTGCTTAAGGATGAGGAGAATATGTAATTCTGGGTACTCTGGGTTGATCCTTTCACATCTGCCTTCCCAGCAGGGAAGGAGCAGGACTTTGTGGTGATCCAGGACACAGTGGGGAAGATGAAAGTCAAAGGTCCGGTGCTTGCTGGTGGGAAAGGGAGGAAAGCTTGTGGTCATCCAGCAGAGAATTCCCAAATCCCAGCAAATTTTGCTGAGGGAAGGAGTTGACAGAATGGAGTCCTTATCCCACTGTAGGGATTCACCCTCGTGCTGGTGGCAGGGCTGGGCTGTGCTCGGGGAACATCCCAGAGCTGGGCAGAAGTGAAGCTGCAGGAGCATGGAATCACAGAGTGCTTTGGGTTGGGAGGGACCTTAAAGCCCATCCAGTGACACCCCAGAGACACCTCCCACTGCCCCAGGCTGCTCCAAGTTCCATCCAGCCTGGCCTTGGGCACTTCCAGGGATCCAGGGGCAGCCACAGCTGCTCTGGGGCACCTGTGCCAGGCTTCCCCACCCTCCCAGGGAAGGATTTATTCCTATATCCCATCTAAACCTCCTCTCTTTCCATGTTTCTTCCCCATTTGGCAGCTTTCTTTGGTTTTTCAGAAAGCAGGAAATAATTAAGTGGCCTGGAAAATAAAACTCAAAAGTTTGTAAATGCCAGAGAAGGCAAAACTTTGACTTTGGAGAGTCCAAGCACTGTGTGATTGAACCATCTCTCAGTTACCACCATCGCACCTGTTGCTGAGCTGCAGATATTGTCAGGAACAGGTAAAATGAACTTCCCGGCTTCTAATCCACCTGGAATGTGGCAATTAGCAGGGTTTGGGCTGAGTCCCGCATTCCTGGGGGATTACCGGCCCTTTGCTGCGGCTCATTAGCATTTACAGCGCTGGCAGCTGCCACACCTCAACTCGGATTTACATACGGGATTAAAACAAAGCCTTTGTGCCCGAAAAGCTTCGTCAGAGGGGCGGCTTCTGCCAGCAGAGGCACGCAGGTTTTGTCTTGTCTCACCTGGGCTTTCATGTGGGAGCTGCTGCTGCTCCCCTCAAAGCCCTGAAACTGCAGCTTGGACCAAGCCAAGCCCTGGGCAGCACACGCTGAGCTGGGCACTGGAAACCACCGAGGGGAAAATGAGGCTCGGTTCTCGTTTGTTTTGCATCTCAAGGAGTGTCTTGGTTTGAACAGACAGGTGTCTGCTAAGGAAGGCAGGAGCCTCCCCTGAAATGGAGAATGGAAACGCCCTCCCTCCAGAATTGTTATAATTTTGAAATTAAGGGGCTCTCAGGCAAAGATAGGGGAATAGGAATAACATTTTATTTTATTATGAAAGTTAAAATACAAATGCAACAATACAAACAAGTGAAAAAAAAACCACCGGGTCATAATTCAACGTCACACGCTGTGAGTCAGGGTGGGGGCACAGCCCCATCCCATGGGGGCTCAGCCCTCCTGCAGTGCCAGCTGTGGCTCTGCTGGAGCAGGGATCCTGCACAAGGGGGGAGTTTTCCTCTGCAGCTCCAGGGGTGGTGTGGATAGGCCTGGGCTCCCTCTGGCAATGCAGGGGAGAGGAAAGCTGCTCCTCTGGGAATGCAGGGGAGAGGAAAGCTGCTCCTCTGGGAATGCAGGGGAGAGGAAAGCTGCTCCTCTGGGAATGCAGGGCAGCACAAAGCTGCTCCTCTGGGAATGCAGTGGGCAAAGGCTGCTGTGGTGTCTGTCCTGGTTTGAGAGGAAGTAAGTATTCTGGGATATGCTGTGGTCACCAGTAGGTGTTCAGATTTTAATATTGGCACCTGGTGTGGCCACTGGGGACATTGGATACGCCTCTGAGAACACAGGGGTGTCCAGCCATTGTGGGAGCTCTGGGGGGGCAGAGCCCGAGTTTTTAACCCCTTTTTGGACAATGAAAACTTTACAGAACATTAACCTTTCCTAGAAGAGAGATTGAGATGAAATGGGAAATGGGCAAGTGTGATGGAGGTTGGTGCAAGTGAGAGATGTCAGGAGAGTAGAGAAGAATCTTAGGTGGGAAGAGATGATGGAGTGGCCTTAGCTGGACTCTTCTTGTTATAACCACAGACAGAACCATGTTCCTTGTGACACAGGGACTGCATCCAGGGGGAGGCAATGGCTCAGAGCCAAGAGGGTTCAGTGTTGGTACCCCTCGGCCCCAGGGGATGAAATTTGGGGGGACAGGTGTCCCCAAGGTGAGACTGTGCTCTTTTTGGATGGGACAAGCATCCTTAAAAGGACGACCCTAGGAGCAGCTCTGGTCCATGTGCAGTGGTGAGAGCACTGGTCATGGAAGGGAGAGGTCACCAAGGCAGATGTTCTCCGGGCGGTGCCACGAGTGACATGGAAACACACAAGGTCTCAATGGTGTTTCCTGGGGAAGCCCATGGTACAAGTACTCCTCTCCTCTTGATGAACTGAGAATTGATTACCTAAAGGGTGGTGAAGGACTGAGAGTTGGTGATTTGGGGGATGGATGTATTGGAAATTTGGTGGGGGGAGGAGGAAATGTTTTTGGGATGTTTTCATTTTCCCTGTGTGTTTCTTGTTCCTTAGAGTTGTAGTTTAGTTTTTTCTTTTCTTTATTTCTAAGTGGGGGCCTGCTTTGCTTGTTCCTGGTCACATCTCACAGCAGACACCAGGGAGCGTATATTTTCATGGGGGCACTGGCATTGCGCCAGCGTCAAACCGTGACAGTGTCCCAAAGCTCAGATTGTATCCAGGTAGGAATGCTTGGCTCCTCCCCTGGGCGGAGCATCTCCCCATGGGATGGTGTAATTCTATCAGCCATGCAGGGACACTCACTGGCCATGAACAGAAGATAATTAATAATTAATGGCTCATTAACAGCAGAGATCTCCTGCAGGGAGGATTGGCTGTGGGAGAGATAAAGAAAGCTGCCCAATGAACAGAGATAACTGCCCCACCTCTGACAGACAGAACACACAGCCCCAGCCACATTTTGTATTTCCAACCAAGACAGGGAGTCAAAATCCACTTGTTTTCCAGGAGGTTGCAGTACTCCAGCGTCACAGTAAAACTCATTTTAAAGCCTGTTAAGTTCACCACATGAAAGTGGTTTCCAAGCAGATTTCCCAATTAAATCCCTGCCTACTCTAAGTGGCTCCAACTCTACCTGCTGCCTTTTGGAAATGAGCATCTCCTCCTCCAGCGTGTGCTTCATGTTGGGGAAGGAGGAACAGCTTGATAATAATATTCTGCATTTTGAAATAATGACTTAATTTGGTGCTTTCCCTCGCTGGGTGAGTTCTGCAGTGATTATCTTACAACTGAGCCCTATTCAGGTTTCAATTTCTATTAAATAAGCTAAATCGACAGCATTAAACAGTTGCCTGTTTATTCTTTTTAGCAGGAAATTAATTTAAAAGAGACGCAGCCACCCGTGAAGAGCTGTTGAAAGCAACGATTGATGGGAGGGAGGAGGTGGTTTCTCACCAAAACCTTAAAAAAACAAACAAACTGGGCATAAAAAATAAAAAAATAATCACTTTTAAAACAGGGGAGATTTAGCTATGAGCATTTCTCTCTCTCTCCCCACTAGTAAACCATGGTGTGCAGAGGGAATGCCACGAGGGAGAAAGAGAAATGAAAATATGATCCTATAAATATTTAATTCTATAAGGAGAAATAAGTGAAGTTTGGGGGAAAGAGGGGGCTGTGGTGGTAGGAAAAGCCCCATTCCAGGGGGCTGGTGGCAGCACATGGAGCTTTTCACTTGCAGGTTTCTTGAGATTCCCTTTGGTGTGGAGAGCCTGGAGCAGCCCCAGGTGGGAGATCTCCCATGGGACTGTGATTCAAGAGGCTGGAAAAGCCTCATCCATGTGCTCCTGCACAGCCCCAGGATGTGGCACTGGGATTTCTCCTTGGATTTCTCCTTCCCTTCTGTCCCCTCTCACCACCAGGCCTGCTCCAGCTCTTTGTCTGGGAAAGCTCCCAGTTTCCCATCTTCTTTTCCTTCTTTAGAAAGGTGAAGAGCCCTGCATTCAGCTGCTCCTATCCCACAAAACAGATCATGGAAGGAGAGGCTTTTCCTTCTTCCTTCCATCCCGTGTCAGTTTATTTACAAAGCAATAGGCCTGAATTGGAATGGGAGCCTATTTACATCTGCTACACTGGAGGAATTGTTTGGGATCTCTTCATCCTTAGGCAAAGATAATATTGGAGCCCTTGCCAGGAAAGAGACAAATATATTATTTGGAATATTATTGTGACTGTGAGT